GTTTCTCATGCCACTGCCCATTTAAATCAAGCGACAAACCACATCTTATCATGGCTTTCCTCGCGTACCGGATCCGGTTTTTGTCCATCATATTATTAACCTTGCGAACCACGCGAGCCGCGAGACGAAGAAAAAAGTTTTTTCCAGGGTTAGGTAATTTTCCAGACTCTAACGTTCCTTCCTTCCATGCTTGACTTCCCAAAAGCTGGACCTTTTTCTCATCCCAAAGTGCCCGCCATCTCTGCTTAATTTTCTGAATTATGAAGTTATCTGCGGGTTGACACAAATGTGTCGAGTTTGCAGGCAAAAAATGGAGCCTTGAATTAATGGCATTAAGTTTCTCCATCTGCTCAAAATTTGAGTTATGACCTGAGCAATTATCCAAAAAAATTGTGCGCTGCCTCCCGTATGTGTCCCGTTTTACGGCACGGGGCTCAGTCAGCCACTGCACAAAGACCTGCTGATCCATCCATCCCTTTGGGCTTGTACGATATGATACCCCCGGTACGTCATCCGGCACACCCCTTATTGGGTAACTTCTCGTCGCATTTTGGAACATCATAAACGGAGCTTCTATTGACGCATTCCTCCCGCCAGTAATCCTTACCACCATAGTCATACCGACCCCTCCAGATGACACATCTGCATACCTCACGTCCTGTGTACCAATCACACTCAAAGTTTTCCCATCATCCATATTGACCACAAAATGGGTCTCGTCCATAATCTCCAGCATATCCTCCTCCAACGACCCGTTTCTGAACCCCCGACAAACCTGTCCAAGGTGGTAGGCTACTTCGCGCTCAATGAGCATTTCCTTAACTGGGCTCACCAAAAGCTTTCCACATTGCCTCCTGCTGATGATCTCAAAGCGATCCATAAAACTCTGAACCCATCGCTTTGTAATTTTACAGACCAAATCTGATGCGACCGTACCCACAAAGTCAACACCATATTCCCCGTCTGGGTCTCGAATTATTCGCTTGCAGAGAGCTCCATTTATACCAGCATTAAACTTTAAGCCGGCTTTAGAAAGGCGTTCAAACTCTTTCATGAGTACAACTTGTACATTGCGAGCCCATGCCTCTTGCTTTCTGCCTCTCCCCTTAGAGGCCTTGACGCGCACAACCTTTCGTCCACCTGTCGGTCTACCCCCCGCAACACGTCGCCGCTTCACGCGATGGCTTACTACACGAACCTCTTCGTCAGCACTCGAAAAAATGTTACTCCTCGCTTTAAACCAACGAGAAGCTTTCGAAAAGTTGGCCTTTTCTTTCCCCCGAAAAAGCGAGGGGAACTTTTTGATAGCTTTAGTGGCTATCAGCTTCCCGGAACCACTGGCTTCGTCCTCAGCCACCATCCACCGAACAACATGAACACGCTCTTGAATAGTGGATACTTGCTGTAGGCTTCTTTTTCTGTTTCCTTTGGGGCATGGCTGTGCAGAAGCAGCTTCAGGGACAGACGGTTGAGGAGTAAAAAGGGAGGAGGATGACGAGGAATCGTAGTCGAGATGAAGGCTGGTGTTGCTATTGTGCGATGATTGAGCGTTTTGGATGGCTGCGACAATCGGAGAAGGGGAAGGGACATTCATGGTGAAGATAAGTTGGTTGAGGTGATGGATACAGTGCTTCATGAACTGTTTGCTTTAATACACATGCCAAGCGGATGGCATAGCTGCTTAGAATTAACATAGTTTGAAACTGGATGCATTGTTGCTTTCAGAGTGTTTCGCAACGTTACCAGAGTTTTGTATACCGTTGACTACAAACGGTTAACGTTGTGCAGAGGCGGGGACGTTTTTTGGTAACGGGTCGACCTGGAGCCGCAACTGACCATTTTGTGCTGTAAAAATCGGCACTATTTTTTCCAATTTCTGTCAATCAGGCTTTTACTAATTTATGTGGGTTCCTGAATAGTGCGGATACGGAAATAGTGGGGGCCGTGCTAATTTGTGTTCACGAGGCTCAGATAGGACCCTAAAAATTAGTGGGGGCCGGACTAATTGACGTTCACGGGTGTAGTGCGCGGACCCTCAGCCTCAGTAGACTCGGCCATCGTGCCCTTCACCACAGTCTTGAAAGAGCCGTCTCTCCTGTCCAACTATTCTCTACGCATCCCGGACCACATCAAGGCGGCATGCCGGTCCCATGATGAACCCCGTCGGGGCTATGGCAGACCACCTCAATGATCTCATTACTGCTTCCAAATCCGCAACTGAACCAACTTTCGCTTGACGCGTCTCTACGCCTTTTTCAGTTCAACACCTTGCGCGTCACACCAGAACCATCAACAAGCTAATTGGTCCCTTCTTTAAGGCAGGGCTCATCTGGAAAACCGCAGCGCCATCCTTTTTTAAATTTTTGTAGTTCAGATGTTAGGAAGTCCACCGACTTTTCATGTATATATTCTCACCCGTGTCTGCCTCAGTTTCTCCATAAATGATTCAGAAGCACTCGATGAAGAAGATTTAGGACTCGAACTAGTCACACCAAAGCAAAAGACAACTCAACAAGTTGTCTCCATGACCGTTCAAACCCTGAACCCTACAGTAGAACAATTCAAGCAAGTCCCGTAGTACCCAACTCTAAGTATAGCTCCATGAAGGCAAGGCGCTATCATTACATGAATGAACCTCAAGGTCCTGAAGATATTGTAGTATAGACTTACGGTTCACTAGTGTCTATTGGACCGTCAGTTCTCATATGAGGACAAAAGTTATTTTATTTTTCTAGACAACGCAACTCGCAATTTCACTTCCGTTTTTTGAAACCAAAAGTCCCTGGCTACAGGCGAAGCACTTGGTTGTCGATTTTCGCAAAAACCAACTCGTTGATGCCTATAAAGGTGTTCAAAAGAAAAAGTCGGCTTATAGTATGCATTTTCTTTAAGATAATTTTATAACAGTAACATGGAAACATTTACCTGAGGGCTTTCTATTCGGTTCTAACGTTAGAAAAAATTTAAAACGAGTCATTCTTCCAAAGAAAAATAGAAACCGTCGCCATCAAAGTTGAAAAGAAATAAAATTCGCAGATTCTTATGGTAAGATAACGCTTGGTCGGATAGACACTAGCATCGCGAGAAAATTGCGTGACTGATTTGCAATTCCAGGTGGCAGCGTTTACCCGCGCTGCTGAGTGCCACCATCTCGAAACGTGTAGGGGCATATAGCAAGCGGTTAGCAGGAATTTTCTTATGCGAAATTACGAGAGCTTGAGCAGATCTTGTTTAAAGACTGCTGTGTACAGTGCTAGTTTTTCTAGTGGAATGCCCACGAAATCGCGATGAAAACCATATTCGTGGGCCACGGATATACGTCACCAGAGCAATTTATTCCTGAAGCTCTCCGTAATTGCCTGCCGCAACTGCAGGTCAAGTTGCTATCCATAAAGCTCCGATCGGAGCACTCTTGGGAATTTCTGATCAGGTGTAACTACATGTCTCCATTTTCAAGGTAGAAAAATATTGCTCAGAAATAATCAAATAAAGACAGTGATACGTGGCAGCCAACGTGTCCCAGGAGTGCACCTCAACCAGGAGTATGACGCGTTGGAACGGGAGACACATGAGTCCTTTATACGTCGTCGTACTATTCTGATCCTATTTATACTGCACTACTGTGCATGTGGTATAAGGAGGTGACAGATGTGCGATCTGTCATGACGCGCAGAAATCGCTATTTTTTTGCGAGCCGTTCTTCGACTCGTGACAATGCCCAGTCTCACAACCGTAGCATCCAGGGCCATTAGTATGGGGCCACAGACGAATTTCTAGATATTCCAGACCTGCGCCTCACTGTTGCTCCGAGACCGGGTTGACGCATGACATGTGATTGCGACAAGTTGCAAATGTAGAATGACTTCGGTGGCCGTGCCAACAACGACGGATGTCTCAGCTTTTGGAAATAGATTGTTTCGTAGTACAGTACAGTGTACTTAATCTTGCTTGCGATGCAAAACTTTATGATAGAGTTTTTTCTTTTCACCGCCACTGATGTCAGTGGCGGTACAGTACCGTGGTGATGAGATGTCAACATCTCATCACCACGGTAGTCGACAGAGCAACAACCATAGTGTGCACGACTTGATGACATCAAGGCATCTATTTGTTCCGTCTATCTGCCCTATGAGCTGCAATGAACCCTCGCATCATTTGGACAGCTGTCCTGCTCCGGAATTCGCTCATACGAAAAAGTGTAGCCCCCACGCTCTCCTATACCCACGCATGCAAGCTTTTACAGAACCTTTCCGGAACACTCTCGACGTTCGACGTGTGTCTTACCCGCATGCTTCCATTGCTCGCCCCCCCCCCCCCTCCCCGCCCGCCCGCCCGCCCTCGGAAGTTCTGAAGAGAAACTAATGCGGATCTCTTCGGTGTCAAGGTCTGGCATGCTGACAGCCCATCTTGCTGCGTGACTACAATGAACTGCGTCACTTTGCAGCCTTCCAGCGCAGGAGGGAATCTTTCTATTCTACCGTAAGCAGTGCCCTGTCATTCTTGCTGTCTTGTGCTCGTCGCCGCATTTATTATCGAGAATTCTTCCTTGTCTCGGGTTTTCGGGTTTCTCCACATCTCATCTAATCCTCCGTCAAACTTCATCTTCCCCTAATTCGTTAAAGTGCAAAAAACCGCGATCTGCTAGCGACATGTAGGATTCATGACGAGGCCGCCAAGTAGAAGTCAAACGCCCATGCACATCTCTGGCATAGCTTTTTTGCTATTCTGTGATCATGGGGGTGAACGGAAAGGCCAATAGCGCAACAAGAGTTCAAGTTTCTGAAGTCCTCCTTTCCCTACGAATTACTCCCGTCTCAAAGGCATGGTAAGTGCCCTATATTCGGGGAGGGCATGGTCTTTTCGATCGAAAGCCCGTCCATGGACCAAATCGCGGACACATTCATGAGTATAAAGGGAGTGCCCAACCCAGGGCAAAGCACCTCTCATCCCCACAACCTCACCAGCATTCACCTCGGTACTGCCCTCGCCACACATCAACCATGAACGCCTCATTCCTCTTCGTCCTTCTCCTGTCCGTCATCGCCTTCACAGCGGACGCCCAATGCGGCCGCTCCTGCCGGTTCCGCCTCTGCCGCACCGACGGCTCCTTGCGTCCGACGGGCACGCGCGTCCTTCTCCGCGGGGCTGACTACACGCGCTCAGCATCCGTCTGCCGTAACTTCCCGGGCGGCCGGACGCTCGGCAGCATCCGCAAAACTGGCGTTGCCCTCGTTGAATCGGGCTCACGCACCACCCCCATCAACAGGTACAGGCCAAACGGACTGAGCCACCCGTTCCCGCCAAACTACTTCCGTCTTTCCCCTCTCACGTTCCAGCGCGAACTCAGGGGTGTCTCCCGCCGTAGCCCTGTGGGTAACCAGGAGGACTTCCTCGACGACCTCTGCATCCGTCTTCCGATCCGCAACTACAACATTCAGAACACCGATGGGTCCGTGTTCCGCACGATCGCGACGTCCGACGCCAGGGACTGCGTCTCATTCCAGACGGTTGTGCGGCCGATCGTGGTGGACGTGGCGTGGGATTCGTCCGATGATTTCGACCTTTCCGTTGATGGGCCGCCGGGCTCCCAGGGAGGACGTATCAATGACAACTTGGTGTACCAGTGCGGCAACTTGCCGGCCGGCAAGGAAGCTGTGTCGTTCACGAACATGGTTCCAGGGAAGTACACTGTCAAGCTGTTCCATTTCAACAACTGCTTCAATAACCGCACAAGGTGGGTAGTCAACATTGTGATCAACGGAGTCAGGGTTGAACGCAGGTTGGGCCGCTCGAACGTGGACGGCAGGCAGGTTCTTGAGCTCGAGTTCACTGTCTAAGAGGAGTGAGTAAAGGTATCGAGTACCGTTTCCCTTACCTCGTGATGAGCGTGAAATAGTGTCTGCAACTTGTAGTGAACGATGAGTAGAGATGGGCGGAGTTGCTCCCGTACTTGAGATTTCAGTAAACGACACCTTTCGCCTCTGTTTGAAAACGCTGCTGGCGCATTGTTCCTTGGTCGTGCGTATTTGAAAAATACCACACGCCGTGTTAAAATGTAATGTGTCAGTCAACTAATTGTCGTCCTTCGTTATGGAACGACCGCAGCGGACGTCCTGAAGGAAGTCTGCCTGGATTATGATGCTGGTGACAATGGCGCATATTTAGGACTAACTCATAAGCACCGTATACGTTTTAGTTTGCTAGATGTGTAGCGCTCTCCTGAGACGAGCGGAGTGGTTTTGTTTGAACTTGATGATCCTTCGTTTTACTCAGTGTGTTTTCTTAGGTATTTATCCTAGTTGGGCATCGTCACTTATCGGTCTGGTGAAGTGTCGTGACCTGCACTGTTCAACATACTATCAGCTTAATGATATGCATACGGACACTACAGTAGGCCCTTACTAATTTAACCCGCTATTAACGCCTGAAATCAGTCTATGCATATTGATTGCGTAATCCTCTCCACATGTACTGCATATACGTAGTGCCTTGTGCCTCTATGTGCCACAACATCAGGTAAGGTTCAACAAACGCCTCCTTAAGTTGAAGAATGTCAGTAGATCTCTTGGATGCTAAGGAGCTGGCGCAGTTTCTCGAGTCGCTGTCGGGGTATACCTTTGGTCATGGCATCGGCAATCATGTCTTCCGTGGCACAGTACTGCATCGAAACATTACCCCGTTTCACCTCATTTTTGACAAAGAAGTACCTGATGTCCACATGTTGTGCTTTCTTTTCTGAGATTGACCACTTTATGGCTCCTTGTTTATCTTCCCAAACTGTTGTGGGCCAATCGCGAGAAGCCTCAGTTCTTTGAGCATTGTGCGCACCAAAGTGACGTCTTTTATGCACTCAGATATCGCGATAAATTCTGCCTCTGTAGACGACAGCGCCACTCGGATCTGCTTTTTGCTCCTCCACACAACGGGGGTCCCATTGACAAAAACGACAACCACGCTTTTTGACTTGCGGTCTAGAAGATCCCCAGCCTAATCAGCGTCATAATAGGTATACATTTTCGGCAGCGCATGGTTGTTCTGCCTTGTGAAATCCAGTCCAAGTTGCGCAGTTCCCTTCAAATATCTCATGATCTTTTTCACAGCAATCCACGCAGCCTGCGTTGGAGATGCACAGTGGCGTGAGAGAATGCCGACAGCTGCGGCGATTTCCGGACGTGTCCGTGGGGAGACGAGGGGTAGTGCCCCAATTGCCTCCCTGTACCGCTCCAAATTTCGGTCGTCGGGTGTCCCATTGTCGACCCGCTCTTTCCCGGAAACAGCTAGAGGAGTTCCCGCTGGTTTGCAATCGAGCATACCAAATCTCTCAAGGATCTGTCGAAAGAAACATTCTTGCCGCAAGGTAATCCCTCGATTGCGGGAAATGAACTCGACTCCAAGGAACGACTTCGCAACTCCGAGATCTGTCATCTCAAAAACCTGCATCATCATCTTTATCGTATGATTTACAACTTCCAAGTTCTCACCCATGATGAGCACGTCGTCAACATAAACTAGAACCAATACATTGAAGCCGTTGTGCGCTGTGACGTAGAAGCATTCATCAGCTTTAAGACAACGAAAACTCATATCAATCATGGCCTGGTCCCAGGTCTTATTCCAGATTTTGGGGGCTTTCTTCAGCCCATAAAGAGCTTTGTCCAGATTTAACGCATAGCCATTCCTCAGTCCGAGATCCAAACCTTCAGGCGGATTGATGAAAATGCAGTCATCATTCTCAAAATTGCCATTGAGAAATGCTGATTTGACATTCATCTGATGGATTACGCCTCCTAATCTACCCAAGAGAGCGAGTGCCACTCTCACTGATGCGAAATCTACAACAGGAGCATATATATTTCCGACGTTTCCCTCTTGGAATCCCTTCGCCACAACCCTGGCCTTGCATTTCTGAATGGAACCATCGGCGTTGTGCTTCAGAGCAAATACGAATCTCGAGTCAATAATCCTCACACCTGGAGGTACTTTCGCTACCGTCCATGCTCCCTTTGCCTTCAGAGATCTGACCTCTTCATCAACCGCATTGAGCCACTGTTCGCCGTCTTTAATTGATTTGGCCTCTCGTACATTATTGGGAACCCCAACTCCAGCCTCTCCGTCATTGACAACCTTTAGAGCTGTATCATTTTCTTCGGTATTGGCTGTAGCTCCTCCAAAGCGTACGGGAGGCCTCCGAGTATGAAAGGTTAGAGTAGCTTCGAACCTTATACTTGACAAGCAGAACAGCAATGCAGCATAACAGAAGAACAGAACAGTTTAGTGATCTAGAAGAACAGTGTTGGGTATCGATAATCCTTCTGGTCTGGGCAGCCCCAGCAACTTCGGCTTCTACTTATATCTATCGTACTGCAGTAGAATCTATCCTTGTAATTATTACGTTCAAGGAGAGTCAGAGACAGTCCAAGTAATCATTACATGTCAATTATTACGTTCAAGGAGAGTCGGAGACAGTCCAGGTAATCATTACATGTCATTGTATCAAATATTAGGCGTCAAAAGAATGCAGTGCAAGCAATCTTTTCATACTCCTCCCCTTTTGAGGTGTTAGCATCATCCAGTGAATTGTTGAGAGTTGCGGATCTTACTGTCAGTAAACTCACAAGGGAGCTCACCAGAGAACATGAGTAACTGCAAAGGTAGACAGAGCGGACTATTTGGCTTAGTCAGAGGATCGGCTATGTTCTGCTTTCCCGAAAGCCAAACCATGCGCGTAACTTGGCGCGTTTCAAACTCGTATCTGATAAGGGCAACATCTCCACGGATTGATCGATCAGTTGCCATACGGCATGTAGAAATTGTGTCGAATAAGTCTTTTGAATCCAGAACGTTAATCAAATCCACTTGAACATCCATGAGCGTTTCATATGCCTTCACTAGCACTTTGCCTTCATCGATAGCAGCACCAGTTGCAAGGATTTCAGCCGATCCAATCGACTTAACCGGCCTTTTCGACTTCCGTGACTGCCATGACAATGTGTGAAAAATAGAACCATTTTTCATCTCACCCAACAGAAGTCCAGAAATGCATCCCAATTGTCCATGATCGCAGGAACGACTTGCATCTGCAAAAGATAGAATTGATACTGCAAGAGGCTTAGTGCTGGTTGGTCTCTTGAAGCGAATTGTGCTCCCCAGTTTCTTGAGCGTTTTTAGCACATTGATTTGCGTAACGAGATCATGTAAAGTAGCGTTCGGAGTCTTTTGTTGCATATAGCTGGATGCGAACGAACAGAACGGAGAAGCAGCAACTCCAAGCCAACCTAACCAGTTGTTTACAGACCGAAACGTTGACATCTCCACCGCATTTAAAGCAGATTCGGTCTGCCTTCTGCGCGTACGGTCAATCGGATAACTTTCCCGTGCCAATAACTTCTCATCTCCGTCAATAGAGATACTGAGATCGGTCTCTTGACAAATTGTCAACCCAAAGAACTTGAACGTGCCGGGGCCATATACAATCGTACCAAGATCGTACTGTTTGGATATATCCTTGATTGTTTCTTGCAGCAAAGGTAGCGGTGCGGCAAAAAGAATATCATCAACAACCTTCACTCCCATAATGGAGAGTTCATTACTTACCTTTTTAAAGAACAGCTGTGGAACATAAACCAGTTGAACAAAACCAAGGCTGTCAAGGAAGTTGTCGCTAGTCTCCTGCCATTTCGCATTGGCGTTGACCAACCCATATGCAGCCGCAAGTAATAACCAGTAGAATCGTGTCCGTGTACTGCATTCACGAGGTGGAACAACGTAAACATCCCTCATCGCCTTACCTGTTTGTAGAAATGCAGTAGAAAAATCAATCTTCGCAATGTGCCATTTGAACAGTACAGCGATGGAAAGCAGTATGCGAATACCTACAGGAGGGCATGTAGCAGAATCAGTCTTGAGAGTTTCACGTTCTTTGTCCTGGTTACCATGTGGAGCAATACGAGCCTTCATAAAATACGTCCCATCATCTGAAATCTTCACTTTGTATATCACATGGCTAGTGATTATATTCGCGTTGCGTGGAACTTGTGACACCGGAACTTCCCGTACAGTCTTCTTGAAAGAATCTTCTTCCTTGATATATGCGTTATGAGTTATATATGATGGTAGAGTTAGAGGAACAGAGTTATCTAGTACAGAGAAGGAAGCTACAGAGCTGTACTACCAGATGTTTCAGAGTAAGGAATTTACTCTACACTATGCCCAAGGTCTACCATCATATATAACTCATAACGCATATATCAAGGAAGAAGATTCTTTCAAGAAGACTGTACGGGAAGTTCCGGTGTCACAAGTTCCACGCAACGCGAATATAATCACTAGCCATGTGATATACAAAGTGAAGATTTCAGATGATGGGACGTATTTTATGAAGGCTCGTATTGCTCCACATGGTAACCAGGACAAAGAACGTGAAACTCTTAAGACTGATTGCAGCTTGCAGACCTGAAGTCTAAAAGCAAATGCCGCAGTTGTTCCAATTATGGCCATTGGGCTTCAGACCACAACAGTGATGGTTCCCTCAAGCCCGGTGTCACTTCCAGATCTCAGCCACTGCAAAAGTCTGATGATTCGTCCAAATATGAGTTATATATGATGGTAGACCTTGGGCATAGTGTAGAGTAAATTCCTTACTCTGAAACATCTGGTAGTACAGCTCTGTAGCTTCGTTCTCTGTACTAGATAACTCTGTTCCAGGGGTAATCTGAACCTTGTTGCTTTTCAAAGAATCATCTCTGTAGGAATTGGTAAACGGTCTCCATTTTTCGTCGTCAAGATTGAGAAATTCGTTATCGCCGTCGTTTTAACTTATATGGTATTTCCCATCATC